GCAAAAGTATATTTCAAAATTGTATGTTCAGAATAAAACAAATAGATTTGCCCAAAAAATAAAGTGAAATTTTTCTCAATTTCTTCAAGAATTAGTGTTGCCATATGGCAACGCGAGTAACTCACACTGTTTCATGAAAAAAAATTTATTGATTAAAAAAAAACTACATTCGTGTATGGTATTCAACATTGCATGACAAACAAACTCCTACATTACAATTGATGTATTTTGTGCGCATAATTGATTTGCAATTGTCGCCATTGCATCTAATTTTTTTTCTACTGTTGTGAGCTAGTGCCCTATACTATCATGTAGCACATCATCACCAACACGGCTGTACGATCTGCTCCATTTACTTGCAGATGGTCTAGCTTTTCCTTTCGGTGGATTCTTGTACTTGTTGAGGTATGTTTTGACAATTTCTTGACTTGCCAGACTGTTTGTACAGGACCCAGGCATTTTGAATTGCGGTATCAAGTAGCCATGTGAAAAGACAACACCACCATTTTTTTCCAGCGTGCAATATTTTCATCCATCAGATCCGTGCCACCCATGGATACATTACATTTGGAAATCAAGTTCGGTCTTGTTACTTGAACAATTTTTTTCTCCTTCGCCGAATATCGTTTTACACAAGCAAGTGGGGCCACCCCATATTTGGTCGAAGCTGCTGAAACTACATTATTGTCTGTCCAACGCGTTAGTAAAATTCCGTTAGTTCAATCCAAACAAGAATCGAAGTCACCTCGTTCTTTCTTACTCATATCCTTTTTGGATACTAACGGGCAATTTTTAGGGATTCGGTTGTCGCGAATGGTTCCTGTGGATGAGAAACCTGTTGATTTCAGATGACTAAGAAGGTGCAAGCTTGTAAATAAATTGTCTTTGAATAGGTTGTATCGCTGTTTTTTCTTTTCTTCTGGTAACTCATCCAGTAGCATCAGCATCCAGGAGCATTAGATTTTCCAAACACAGTTTGGTATTCATCGTTCACGCGCCTATCTTTGCCTTGATATAAGGAAAAATTCACAAGATATCCGTATTTGCTGTTCAGCGACCATATGTTGTATCCAAATCTGATTGGTTTACCTCGGATGAATTGCTTGCATGAGTGTTTTCCAAAGGTATCAGCTTATAGAATTTGTCATTTGTATCTAGTGCATTATTATCTGCGCAGTGTAGATACCACCAAATTGTTAAAAATCGGTCTCTTCTCATTGCATCCATCACTGGTTGGTTACCAAGATCGCCATCAGTATTCCAGTCATTTTTTTTCCAGGTAATTGACAATATCCCGATAAAATCAGAATAGCAATGAAACATTTCATAACAAACAGTGTTGTTTACAGCAGTGGCGTAGCGTGGTTATCGGCTGCCCGGGGCGAAAGACAATTTTGCCGCCCTCTTAATTAATACAAAAATTCTTAATTCAACCAATAATTTAACAGGTACATGGGTATTATTTATTCGACATGGTTGAATGATTAGCGAATTGAATATAAAACGAAAACAGTTTTTATTTAGGGATACATGCAGCAGGCTCTGAATATTATAACAAGATGGACCGAAGAAGAAGGGCTTAACATGATCCCATCCAAATCGACCATAGTATCATTTACCAAGAGGACTAAAACGGATGGTCTCTGACCTCTAAAACTTCGAGGTGAAGAAATACAAGTGTCGGGGGAGGTTAAATATCTGGGAGTAATCCTAGAATCCAAACTGACCTGGAACCAACACTTGGATAGGATGAAGAGGAAAGCGGAGGTAGCACTGATGCTCGCCAGACGCACCTATGGAAAAACATAGGGGCTGAAACCAGACATGGTATATTGGCTATATACGATGGTGGTTAAACCCATGATAACATACGCATCTCTGGTCTGGTGGCCAGAGATGGAGCAAGCGACCGCCATCAACAAACTAGGCAAGGTGCAAAGAGTTGCATGTTTGGGAATAACGGGAGCAATGAGAACTACCCCAATAGCTGCATTGGAGACACTCCTGAATCTACCTCTTTTACACGTTGTGATAATGGGGGAGGCCAGGATGGGCCAAGTCAGACTGGAAAACTCACCGAACAGAAATTTCGGAACAAGTGGAGGAGCACATGTTGAATATGTGCACGGACCACATGACACCGAACTACACCTTCAACACAAACTTCACGGCCAAAATAATAAGCCGTGAAGTATGGAATACCATTGGTCATCCCGAAAACATGTTTGGAAAAAACACCTGGTATACAGATGGATCGAAGACCAAATATGGAACGGGAGCTGGAATATACCGAGTGAATAGAAATTCAAACTACAGGTATCCGCTAGGACTATACACATCCGTCTTTCAGGCGGAAGTGTATAGTCCTAGCGGTGACATCAAAACTGTTCTGGGAATGCCATGAAGAACTGAATGAACTTGCGAACAGGAAAAAATCAACTTTGTACTAATAAGAAGCACACAGAGTACTGGACAAAAGTACCTGGCAACAAACACAGTAGAACCTTCATTAGGGAACCGTCCGAGAAAAGAACCGAAGAACTACTTCAATATAGTAGGGATCGGCTCAGAATAATTACAGGGTTACTAACCGGTCNTGGAAATTTATTGGTCATGTTGTATTATCTTCGATAAAATTCTCGTTTGACTGCTATTATCAGTTTCTTTTTTATTGATAGCATCTCAAAAGCTTGGGTTTCAATAGCTCACTTGTTTGACTGTATATTCCTTATAAATCTATGAAACTTTCAGATAAGTTATATGCTTTGCCTCTCAGGAAGCGAAATTTCTATAAACACGAAAAAGTTGCATGCATCATTATTTTCAGCAGACAATGCTTTCGAAATATATCAACTTTTTCAGAATTTCTTCCCGCCAAATAAAAAAACATTACTTTGGAGTCAACTTCCTGAAATTCACCCACTGAAAGTATATAGAAAAGGATTCGTTAACAAAGTGTTACCAAAGTGTTACCATTCGAAGGGAACTGAAACTATTATATGAAAATATGCATAGAAAACCTCTGCATGAAAAAACTCTGCATATTTCCATCCTAAACAATACTCCATCAGAAACCAGTAATAAGTACCTGGAAATAGTTGTATTTAAATTCTATAAAAACTTCTATAAAACTGTCCAATGATTCCATTGAGAAATACTGAAATGAAAAGACTATTAAATATTCAGTTAAAATATTCCTGCGTTTGAGATAAATGTTGGGGAGTACCTCTATATTTAGAAAACTTCAGAAATTACTTTCATAGTTACTGACTGGAAAGTATATATTTGATTCAGAACCTGTTCATTTTGGGGCATGGAAACTAACAATGAATTACAAATGTATCAATATCTTCGATTCGACAAAATCATTTTCATTGCTACTACAACACAAGTCCACACAACTGCTGGTTAAGGATTTCACGCTAGGATTTGAGAATAAGCTCGAAAATAAATTGGCAGAACTAAAAACCGAATCATACAGAAGGATATTTCATCAGAAACTCGCTGAAAACACAATCATTCCAAGAAAACACTGACAACTCATGACGTCATGCAGTACAACAAGCTTATTTCAGATCGCTTCTTGCTAAATTATCAATTCGTTTTCTCCACTTTGAAAAACAGCTATTTTTCAGGTCCAAATCGAGTAGGCTCCCATTAGAAAATGAGTCAGTTTCCTAGATAAATGTGAGTATGAACTAGCAACACGAAAAGAAAGAACAAAAATTCATAGTTATAATCTTGTTTCGAATGTCGAAATTTCTAAAAAAGTTGAATGTGGTATATATTAATTATTTTTCATTGGAAAACTGCACTTTAATTAGTTATTTTCATTTGAACAGTAGTTGAAAAACATCTGTATCTAATCGTCTGATAATGCAATAGAATTCAATCTATTTATAATTAAAGTACGTTTTGCGTCAATTGCAATGGTAAAAACAATGAATTAATACTGAAATTCACAAAAGCGTGAAGTGGAAATTATAATTGACTTTCTAAAAATACAGTGACCGGTTATCATATATTATGACATCCTTGTATGTGAACGGACTAGCATTCGAGAAAAATTAATTTGTAGAATCAATGTCAATGGAGTTGCAGATGAAATCGGATATTTTATAGAATCTGGAACTAGTTTGTTTTGATTAAAATTATAATTCTGAACATCACAANTTTGAGTTAAATTATAATTCTGAACTTGGAATGTCAATTTTGATAATGTGGTATACTCAAATCAACTAATACATTTTGTTAAAAGTTTGCTGGTTTTCGAAAAAGAAATCTTTTGTTGATGTTAAACAACTGTTTACACAATTACTCGAATTTTTTTTCCAAAAAATATTTATTTATCCGTCAATGTCTAGTTTGTTGTTACGTTGGTTTGTTGTTACGGTGGAAACTAGAGACCTCTGGCTTAGCAGCACTTGGTTTTAGTCTTCATTTGCGAAAGTATTGTCCAATAGCCAGCAGGTCGTTTGTTAGGATATCCTCGGTGACTTCAATATCTTTGTGTCTAGCAACTAGTGTCCAGTCGTCAGCGTATCCGATCTTTCTTGAACTCAATTCAGGCATGTCAGCATTATATGAGCTCAAAAGTAGGGGCCAGTACTGATCCCTGTGGTAAGCCGTTGTTAAGCTTCTTCTGAGCACTAATGTTATTACCCAGGAGTACTTGGAAGTTTCTATCGGAGAGCATAGCGTCTATCAGGTCTACTGTCTTCTTGCAGGTTATTACAACGCATGAGCGGCTGCTGTCTTATGCTGAGTTTATCGCGCTATTTCTGTCAGAAAATTGTCAACTTTCGAAAGCGGCAACAGTCATCTGGATGTGCTATATCAATTTTGTTCAGAATTTTAGGCGGAATTTAAATATGGAATAATATATAGAGAATATATTAGAGAAAAAAGCAACTTTATCTCTTCGAAACTTTTTGACTGATCCTATATACCTACTCAATTTCTATTTAGTGTGATAGATTTTAAAAAACCCTAATATTTTTCGCTAGATATCTTACTTTAAGAGATAATCGATCGTTTCCATACACATCAGCGACCCTGTATGTATAAACAAAATTAAAGTATAATTTTTCTATCAGGAGAAGTAGTATTTCCAATTTGGCTTTGGGCTGGACCTTCCATATTGTACATTATAGACGACTAGTTTTCATGCATCAAGAAGCAAATAGTAAAACTAGAAATCGGATTTAAGGAATCCGGACATTTCTAATCGTTTCAAAAATTTGAGGATTACAAAGGTCACATTACAACAGACCGTTTCCTTCATGAACAGGTACGAAGATGATTGGTTAATAGCAGAACAAGCGTTTTCAACACAGAATAATATCAATACAATAGAAAACCTTGGATGTTTATGTTAAGTTTGATGCTTCTGTTACTAACTATTCATTAAATGTATTGCAGTCATTATATAAAGGAACGATTAAAAGAGTGAAAGAAACGTAAACTCGATTTCAAAAAACGATTTCTCAAATGTGTAACAGCTGATGAATTGATATCACTTCGAGAACCCTGAATTTCGTTGACAATAACAATGATAATAGTGTCTGGCTTCCAGAGGAAGCTAAACTGAACAAAATCACTTTTCTTTTTCTCTTGTAAAGAGTTTATTTCGAACTGAGTTGCTTTCTTTCTTCCTTCAGAAGAAGTAGATGGCCAAATGCTTTGTTCAAACACCAACTTGACTCTTTCGTACTGAGTGAAATTTGAAATCACGGTATAGAACAAATTCAATGAAAGCACGTCTCTCAAATATCAGAATTTTTGTGGAAACTATTCAGATTACCTTCTGAAGATTCAATCATGGTTGAAACGCCTGACGGTTCTGTAGTGTGGAACAATGATCAATTTATAACTGAAAAATGGTCAAAAAATATATTTTGTTAAAATTGACTGTTTTTTTGAAACGTATTGATTGATATAATGATTTTGTTTCAGAACCAAGATACCAGTCACTCTTCTCTTTCTTCTGAAAAACCTCAAGCCCAACTTTAGTATTACTTCGTGAAAATTACAGTGCAGGGAGCCGATATTCCAGTTTCATCAGTGTCTCAAAAATAATAGCGTATCTGTTATAAATGTAAATGTTGTAAATAGTTTGTTTTATGTACTCCACGCTTTTTGTCAACCATATACTGCCATCACTCTTTGAGTTGTTAAAAGCTCAAATCAACTAAGAATCATAGGAGAGTTATTCTCTAACCAGAGAACTTTTTGGATTTGTTAATGTAATGTTTTTGGGCAGTAGTTAGTACCTAGTTTAGTAGTTGAATAATGTATTTATTGCATGAGTCGAGCAATTTATTTATTAAATTTTGTTATTCAAAGCTACTTTTTTTATGACCTTCCCGAAGAACAACAGCGTGAAATTCAACTTTTCTGTTTGAAACCTGTGGCAGTACAATTTTTTATAGAAATACTAGTTTTTCGTGTAGCTTGATGTAATTACTGATGCCTGGTCATCCGTGTCCTACGCTGATATTTATTTCAGAAAGAATATTCCGGTCAGTAGGACTATCTAATAACCATTATCAATAATCCATAAATCATATTTTTTAAGGTCATGCTCTGAAACAGAAGTGATTAATTCAAGTTGATTAATGAGACTTCCGATCATTTTCAGAGAAAAATAGTTTCTGACAACTGCCGCTTTGAGTGAGAGATATATTTGTTTCATAAATTTCTGCGAAGGTAGGTATATCTGTTAAGATATATAAAAATACATGACCAACACTTCGAAAAAATGCTATTGAGAAAATTTACATTCTTTATATTGCTTGAAAATCTTTTATACGATTTCATAGAGCAATAGAAAATATTATGTTTATTAAGTGACCTTTTGTGAATGGGATAATCGTGGTCAAGTTGATGTGATATATACTAATTTTGCTAAATCGACTTGATCACATGATCCTTCTACAAAAACTCCACCAACTTGCTTTCCATAATTCAGCAGTACTTTTCATTAAATCCTAATTACTTCAACGCCAACACTTTGTATCTTATAACGGCTATGATCCTTTTTATTACAATTCTTCATCCGGAGTACCTCAGGGGTCGAATCTCGGGCCACTTCTGTTCTTATTATTCATTAATGACCTCAGTAATTATGTCCATTGTTATAAGTTATTTATTGCAGATGATTTGAAAATATATTTACTTGTCGAAACTATCGAAGACTGTAACAAATTGAACGACTGTGAGAAGATATACAGACTTGGTGTGAAGTAAACAAACTATATCTCAATGAATCCAAATGTAAAGTAGTGTCTTGGTGTAGTTCCACAATTGTCTTTAAGGTTTTCAGGAAGGACTGACTCAAATAGGTTGAAACCGTTTTTTCTGATCATATAATTCATCAAGAAGTAAGTAAATGATATATGCAGTCAAAGACCTTCGATATGTGAAGGAAAAAACTATAGACGATATCACATTCTTCTATTGCATCACTGAAATGCTTTTCTGTCGTTTCAACTGCATGATGATTAGGTGAAAATATTGAAAGTGAAGTATAAAGGGTGTAACTTAATAAGTGTAAAACATTCAGGAAGGTGATTCCTGATCGAAAAACAGATAGGATCTTTCATATAAAGAAATTTCATTGGAGCATCTCTTGTTAACATACAGCCTCTTAAAGGGGGTACATAAAATTTGTACAACAATTTTTTTCACAAGCACTGAAAAAGTTACAATATTAAAATTGACCTGACGTTTTGTACTACCAAAAAGACACTTAGCCAGAAATCTATTAGGTTTACCTCATGGTTGTAAGGGGTGGAAAACGCAACCCCTAAAATTTATTTACGATGTAACTTTTTGTCTTATTATTTGTTTACCATTAAAAAATTTATTTCCAATCTTCTGTTTCATTCCAAACAAAAAATATCCATTACATTTTTTGCCCAAAATGAACCAGTTCGCAGCAAAAAATTATTTTAGGAACAACTAATCTATCTAGTAGGTCGCTATTAGCGATAGTGGCAATTAAATTGGTATGACGCTGTCAGTTTGTGAATTTTCGAAATTGAATTAATACTAATTGTGTGTTGTTGTTCTGTTCTTAATTTGTTACTGTCGCAGGGGAATGGGTTATGAGCTTCTAGAAGATATGCTGAAATGTATCCTCAACGGCAGCATCCTTCACATAGAATATTTGCTTGACTTCATCAACGACTACGAGAATATGGTTCATTCGACAAAAGAACGCAGGATTGTGGTCACCATAGAGAAGTAGGAACACCACAGCTGGAGGAAGCAGTATTTAATTTGATTGAAGTACTAGAAAGATTGCTTTCCAGCTAAATGTTGATCATATGACGGTATTTCGAATTTCAAAGGAACAATTCTTATACCCTTACCATCTGCAACGAGTACAGGCACTGTTACCGCGAGACTTTCCGAATCGTCTTGAATTTTGCAATTGAATGCTGGAAATTATTAGAAGAAATAGTTACTTTCCGAAGACGATAGAATTAACAGACGAATGTAGTTTTTCTCGGGACAAGATTATTAATTTTCATAATTACCACATATGGGCTGATGAAAACCCTCATGCTATTGTCGAAACTAACCATCAAGAACAGTTTTCTCTTAACGTGTGGCTCGGAGTTATTGGGGATGATTTAATTGGACCTCATTTTCTACCTCCTCGATTAAATGGTGAGGCATACGTTCAATTTTTAAGAGAAGTGCATCCAGTACTGCTGAAGGAAGTTGCTTTCGGAGTCAGAAGGGATATGTTTTTAGTCAAGTAGCACGTCAGAATTTAAGTGAAACATATGCAAATCAGTGGATAGGTCGAGGAGGACCACAGAACTGGCCCGCCCGATCCCTGGATCTCAATCCTCTCGATTTCTCTATTTGGGGACATTCACAGCATTTGGTTTATCGTACTACTGTTCGCGATGTAGAGGACTTAAGAAACCGCATCATCGATGCGTGCAGGGTAATCAGATATACTCCAGGAATATTTGAGCGAATACGTGCCTCAATGCGCCGACGTCTAGACGCATGCGTAATGTCTGAAGGTAGACATATTGAACATTTACTATGATTTCTACATGTTGTGTGTTTTGTTATTAATAGTACCCCCTTTAAGGGGCTGTATTTTAACAAGGGATGCTCCAATGAAGTTTCTTTATATGAAAGATCCTATCTTTTTTTCGATGAGGAATCACCTCCTTGAATGTTTTACACTTATTCAGTTACACCCTGTATACACGGCGTTCCAACAAAAACTTGATCCTCCTGTAAGTCAGAAACGGATGTCTAATCGAAAATTTCAAAGAACACTTCAATTCATATTTCATATCATACCCAAAACTTCACCCCCCTGCGATCAGCAACTACCACCCTCTTTTGTCAAAGGCATGGGGGGTCGAGTAATACATTCGGAACTGGTTCATTCGTTATTGAGAAATTGAAAGTTGAACGTTTTATTTAAGAAAAAACAGAAAATTCGTTCATTTTAATGAGGGAATCAACAACAAATAATATCGGTGGAAACAAATTCGACAAATAAATTGTTCAAAATGACCTCCACCTAGTTCCATACAAAGTACACTTTACTCTCGAAAGCGTTTCGTACATTACTCAAGATATCCAGGGTTAGCAATTGGCATTCCAGCACAATTCTCTGTCGCCGGTCTTCTATATTTGTAGGCTTGGTAGAGTACACTTTCGACTTCAGGTGTCCCCACAGAAAAACGTCTATCGTTGTGAGATCAGGTGATCTAGCTGGCCACTCCATTGGACCCCTTTTGCCGATCCAACGCAATGGAAAACGTTCGTCCAGAAACTGTCTCACTCGAACATTAAAATGTGGGGGTGCATCATCTTGATGAAATATTATTTCATTTTCTAATGAATTGTCATCATTTCTTAAAATTTGTGCAATCATAGGATGTACACATTCTTGTAATAGATGTGAGTATGTGTCTCCATTGAGATTACCTTTAATGAAAAATGGTCCAACAATATGATTACCAAGAATGCCGGCCCAGACAATCAATTTTTGTGGAGTTTGTGAATGTGTTTCCATCACCAAATGAGGATTCACATCGCTCCAGTAATGACAATTATGTCTATTCACATCACAATTGAACATGAAAGAACTTTCGTCTGGAAAACATGTATTGTATAATAGGTTTGGGTTATTACTCAATTTCTCGCTGAACACCTCACAAAAACTGAAATCGATGATCAAGATCATCTCCGTTTAATTCCTGAACTAGCCTTATTTTGAAAGGATGGAATTTGTAGGCTTTCAAAATCCGAAAAACACCAGTTGCTGATACACCAGACATTCTAGCTACTTGTCTGATAGATTGTCGATTATCCATTTGTACACGTCCTAAAACTGCAACTTCAACTCCGTCATTTCTGACAGGACAGGATACTTCATGTTTTCTGTTGTGACTAGAACCTGAAGTTCCAAACTTAGCCATTGAATGTTTAACGTATTGATGGCTCATGTTGTGGTCTGGATGATTTGTATTAAAAATTCTTGCAGCAGCTTAAGCACATTTATTATTTCGATAATAAGTTGCAACAATTCCATTCTTTCTTCAGTAGAATAAACCATTTTGGAGCACAGTGAACAAGGATGACTGAATGATAATTCGTGAAGAAGTGACAGTGGCCAACTATCTACTTTTTGTTCTGCGACAACTAGATTCAAGCAAAGCTACCAGTGTAGAAAAAGACTAACAGTGTCGTCTATTTCAAAACGTTCACTACTAATTTATTAGATTCTACAAATCTAGGATACCTACAACAGAGAATTGTTCGGGAATGCCGATTTCTGTATGGAACGCTTTCAGTGAAGGGATACATGCAGCAGGCCCAGAATATTATAACAAGATGGACCGAAGAAGAAGGGCTTAACATAATCCCATTCAAATCGATCATAGTAGCATTCACCAAGAGGACTATAACGGATGGTCTCTGACCTCTTAAACTTCGAGATGAAGAAATACAAGTGTCGGGGGAGGTTGAATATCTGGGAATAATCCTAGAATGCAAACTGACCCGGAACCAACACTTGGACAGGATGAAGAGGAAAGTGGAGGTAGCACTGATGCTCGCCAGACGCACCTATGGAAAAACATGGGGGCTAAAACCAGACAATGTATATTGGCTATACACGATGGTGGTTAAACCCATGATAATATATGCATCTCTGGTCTGGTGGCCAAAGATGAAGCAAGCGACCGCCATCAACAAACTAGGCAAGGTGCAAAGAGTTGCATGTTTGGGAATGACGGGAGCAATGAGAACTACCTCAACAGCTGCATTGGAGACACTCCTGAATCTACCTCCTTCACAC